TTCTATCTGCTCCACTCGAATTGGACTGCCAATGTAGGTTGAGCAGTGCCGCCACTTCATTGGTTGTCTCACACACGTAGTTCTCGATCTCTCCGATCAAACACGACGCTGTCAAAGTTACTAGTATGAAGTTGGCATCATGCCTCGGATTTATGAATTTGCAGTTAACCCGCGGCTGAGTATGTACTGACTTCGGGTGAATCCCTATTCGATGATAGCATATTGAAAGGACCGATTATCTTCAATACAAATAACAAAACACACCATGCTGCACCTATAAGTAACGCCGATTGCAGAAGAGATTAGAGGAAGCCCCTTCAACACGTGGAATACCACGTGTACATTTTATGGGTGTCGAGTAACGTAATTGAAACTCGATCAGGTAAACCGTGCTAAAGTGCTTGTTGTCTTCTTATCTGAAGCTGTCGAATTTCGAATATGGGACGAATGGACCCAATGTTCCTTCGACCCTCCGCCGGAAACTACCTCACTACTTTGATGGCCGTTTTGCCGGCTCAAGTTCGGCGCGCAACATCAGCCTTTCAATGCCACCATATCCAAGGCTGAACGGTCTCGGTTTCATTATCTATAAGCCCTGGTGTGCACACTGCTATGATTATGGAATGAATAATTTATAGTAAAAAGCTGAGTGAAGTTCTTCCGACGATTGATGATATCACAGGAATTGCGCGCAGCCGCAGTGACAGTGGGTCATGCGATTAGGCTCATTGACTCATTTGGCAAGCTGCGCCGACATGGACTCTACCGCTTAGATGGTCAAGCAAGGTGTTTATGGTAACAGCCTCATGTCTCATGGGCGTCTAGTGAGAAGTTAATACTATGAAGCAGCATAAAAACTCCCCAGGGGCCAGCACACGCAACTGTTAGACACTCACAATCCCCCCACCAAATCCACTTCGACCGTTCTCAATACCGTCAATATCCAGAAGATGGCGCAGCTCATCCAAGCACCATACCCGTCCGAACGTTTGAAGAACATGGAGCCCGTGTATCCGGAGTCGCCGTTTTTTCTGATAGACAACGGATGGTCACATGCTCGGACGACAAGATGCTTCGTCTGTGGGATTTGACCACAGGTGTGGTGTTGAAGAAGATGGAGGGACATCGCAATCGTGTGCTGGCATTGGCGGTATCACAGAATGGGCGATTGATCGCAAGCGGTGATACCAGCGGAGAACTCTTTGTGTGGAATGGAGAAACCGGAGAAGCTCTCACCCAAGCTATCAGTGCCCATACCGGTTGGGATGTTATCGCTCGACTTCTCTCCAGAAGGCAAAGTGCTGGCCAGTGGATCATCAGATTCCACGACGATGCTGTGGAACACATCAACATGGAAGCTGGAACTCCATCCAATCAATTGTAGCGCAAATGTACGCTGCGTTCGGTATTCAGCGTCTGAACTGCTTGCAATTGCAACAGAGCGCAATGTCCAAATTTACCGAGCTCATTATGAATACACGCCAGGCACATGGGCCAACAACTATTACAAGCCACTATGACTTCCGGGCTGAGCACATGACAACGATTGGGGTATACAGCATGTCACTCGCGTGGACACCCTGGTGGAAAACGCCTTGTCATCGGAGGGAATCATCAAGATCCTGCCATACGAGAATGGGATTCATCGACCTGGGGGTGGATCGGCGATCCCTGGAAGGGCCACTTTAACACCATCCGCGCCACCTCACTGAACTCTGACGGCACTCTCCTTGCCTCCGCATCCGATGACAACCGTGTCCGCCTCTGGCGGCTCTCAGATCGACGAACCATTGCCGTGTTCAAGCACTCTGGCGAGGTGAACTGCGTCACCTTCTCCGCAGATGGCATGCACGTCCTCAGTGGAGGCGTAGATAAGAAGATCTCAGAGTGGCCAGTATCCGAGGACGCTTTGCCAGAGGATGGTCCAAATGACTGGTCTCATGAAGGAGCAGGATAACGCAGGTAAATTCATTTTCATTTTCCCGCCCCTTCGTCATCTAAGCGTCTCCCTATGCCAAGGCTCAAGGCTACTCTGATTTCAAGGCATGTTCCCTACCACTTTGACTCCGATAACGCAATGCGAACATATTTCACGCAGGTCCTCGTTACTAACTCGACACTCCGCAATGCGTGCATAGCCGAGGATTGGCCTACTGCTGACAAGGTGCTAAATCTAGAGATCGACGCTGGTGTCAGCGATCACATCACCTATGCTAATCGCGCATTCGTCATGGCGCAAAAATGCGACTGGAACCACGCGCTTCATGATGCAATCAAGGTGAGATGGACTGACCCATCACGACCCCCTTACGAAAGCTAACTCCGATGGTGACACAGTCCCTCAGTATGCAACCCTCGTTGGCAGGCCATATAGCCAAGGGCATTGCCCTCTGCGGAAAAAAACAGGTTCGGGTCGCGAGGACATCATTTGACCTCGCCTCCATGTTCACGGATGGAGATTTAAAGACCGATCATTTACTTTTTTTATCAAGGCAGGTAACATCTTTCTTACATACTCCATACTTCATTGCGATTTTCAGACCATCGCGTTGTTCAACGCAAACGAACATGAAGAGGCAATACAACGCATCGAAGAGCTGACCGTTTGTCCCAATGCGGACCCTCTCGCTTGTCGGATTCTGGGAGTGAGCATCATGCACTCGATCATGCACAGGTTCGTGTGCTAGCACTGATTCTTTTTACCCTTCGCACATCAGGCGTATCTACGCGTCCGACTGGGAAACATTGCCTTGGGTGGCGCGCGCCACAACGAAGCTATTGACCACTTCACTGCTGCCGTCAACGCTAGTGCTTTCTTTTATAGATTGGAAATTCATTCTATGTACGAGGAATTTGTCGTGGTACGTTGGTATGATTGCAACTGGACTATCCTTTTTCATGCTCGGCTGTGTATTTTTTGCAGCTGTTCGGCTGGGACCTCAAGTCCTTGTGGCAAACCGCGAACCAGCAACACTGTCATGCACTCTTTCAGTCAGGTAGAATTGGAGCAGCCGTCGAATCGTATCAATCCATCATAGAGAAGAGTGATGACGCTATGAAGGCCAGCATATGTGCTTGGTTTGCTGGTAAGTATTCAGTATTGTAATGTCACTCCGTCTACAATCCTCACGCACTTCTCTCAGCTCTCCAGTAAGAACACAGTACGATAGATGCTGCCCTCGCGGCGAGTGTTTTCTCATGCAGTTTGAATCGCAGAGATTATCGAGGAGATTCCATTTGTACCTTGACACCAGCTGTATTACGCAAATAGCCCTTTGTCTCGTATCATACGACTCGCTTATGTAAACAGGACATTTAGAGCACTGGTCAGCGCATGCCCTTCAACACCGGTTCGTTGAACTTCCAATCCTGACGACCCTCAATCGAGAGTTGCTACTTCCCCTGTACACATTTCCTTCCATGCGCCGTGCTCGAATTGGAAGCTGAATAATTTCCCCCAGACTTTGGAATTGCCACGGCTTCATTCTGTCCAATTAAAAATACAGTCATGTCGTCCCGTCTACATTCCTCAACCGCACTTTAATCAGCTCTCAAGTACGAACGAAGGAACGCTCTATGCTTCGAATGGAGAAACTAGGCTCGCAGCGAGCGGTTACTTGTGCAGTTCGGAATCACAGACATCCTCGGGCAATTTTGGTTTATACCTCGATAGTATCTGTATTCCGCAAATACTCGCATCATATACTGGCTCATTTGAACAGGACATCTACAACTATTACACCCACCGGTCGGCGTGTGCCCTTCACCATCGGTTCGTTGAATGCTTTGCATTCTTGCTACTATAGAAATATGAGTAAGTTCGAGACCCTGGCTGCCCCATGTGCATTGCGATATAGGACGTTGCGAGGAGAACCAGAGTCATGCGCGTCAGCCACCAGATCGTCGGAGAAATGAAAGATAATGAGTACAGATGTCGATGTCGATGAAGAAAGTACACATATTATGGAGAAATCGAGACTTGGGCGCTTGATCTGCACAGCCCGTGCACAAGCTGTGAAGTGAGCACGAGGATAAAGCAAGGCACTCCAACAGCGACTTACTTCTGGATCAACTCCGCGTCGAACCAACGTTCACTCTGTGCAGCTTTCATTCTTTCCACAAGCGTTCGTTCTTTGTACAAACTAAATACCTCTGAGTAAGTGGTGGCATTTGTTTGAGTGGACAAGAGCTGAAGATGTGCCGCACCCATTAGGTGAAGTCTCCAAGCCAAAAAACATGTCTTCACAGCAAGAGAAACCAGCGACAAAGCTTTGCAGAAAGATGCGAGGCCACACTGAAGGCGTTTGTGGCGTCCTATGCCTACACGATAGACGGCGGATCATCACCTGTTCATGGGATGGTTCACTCTGAGTCTGGGACATAGAGAGCGGAACGCAAGTCGAGGAGGCCTGGCAGGACGAAGGAAGTGGACCAGTGTACGCCATAGCATTGTCACCGGACGGCAAGACAAGTAGCAAGCGGGAGTCAGTTGGACCGTGCAGTAAGATTGCGGGACATTGATGCAGGACAAGGTCGTCAAAAATGGACAGGACATACATATGCAGTGCGGTCTGTGTGCTGGAGTCCAGACGGAGGGCGAAGTGGCGAGCGGATCCTGGGACAAGACATTCAGAGTCTGGAGTGTCGAGAGCGGAAGGACAATCATCGGACCAATCGAGGCAGTGACCTACGATGTACTGGCGATCTGCTACTCGCCCGATGGCACAATAATTGTGACTGGGGAGGTGTTCACGATCAAAATCTGGGATGCTGACACAGGCGAATTGCTTCAAAACACTGAAGACGGACCCTTGGAGTGGAGTTACGAGCCTGGCGTGGACGTAAGATGGAAAAACGCTTGTCGCCTCCATATCACCGCATGTGATCCAGAAGTTGGACATCGTCAGCTGGACCGAAACCGCTGTTCTTGACGACCACGAATTCAGTATTCATAAGTTTGGTGTCAATACGATTTCATTATCTGCGAATGAGCTCATCCTCGCATTGTCGCCGAAGGCGCGCCTTCTGTCAGAATAGTAGATTATGTAGATACGGCACAATTTCTCTTAGATCCACTTCCCCCACCACGAGCTGCCTCGATGACCCTTGCAGTGATCGTTTTGTCATCATGGAATGTCAACAACCGAACTACTTCATCCATTGGACACCAGACGGCATCAAAATCCTCGTCGTCTTGTTCTGTCGTATTCATCTGGGGTATGGCGCAAGAATCGCCTCGTGCCGCATACCAAAAGATGATCTTCAGCACACCCTGAGTCGTCCTTTGCGTCACAGCGACGGGTTCCGTTGTCCCTCCAGGTATCGCAGATCGGACATCATCATTCCCGTGGAGGGTAGCAAGGGTGGTCAACTGAAGGGGTAGTAGCTCAATGGTGTATCCTGTTTCTTCGTACGTCTCGCGAACGGCTGTTGCTTCGAGCTGTTCCCCCACATCTTTTCTCCCCTTTGGAAGGCAATATTCACCTGTTTTTCTCAAGTAGATGACGAGGACTTTAGATTGATCGATATCGAGGGTAACTGTGCCACAACTGATGACGAAGGATTCAGAGAGATGAAGAGATCTATTCATTTTCTTTCAGAATCTGGTGAATCAGATTTGAGATAAAGTCAGACTCTGGAGTGGGGCCTAATAGGAGCTTACTGCTCTTGTGACGGTACAGGATCGTGGGCTCCAAGGGCGGAGTTATTGGACGTACTCCCGGGTTGCCTTCGACAGCTCTAGATTTGCAATTAGTATGGTGGAATTGCGTCCCTGCATTCCATGCTGCGGGATAGAATGGTTGACATACCAGGAAGCGTTCAGGTTTGTTACACCGCAAGGTAAGGATTTGTTACTAAAGTAACAAACTATACGATGTTTAGTCATCATATTCCCCATATAGTTATATGTCACGTGTTGGTAGTTTCCCTCATCTGGTGTACTACGACAAACGGAATGGTTTTCTAAGCGAGTTGAGGTACGAGGCGGCATAGAATTTAGTCTATGTGCGTTAGTGGCTAAGTGACACTTGCAGGACTGGTGAGTTTGATAATTGTAGAATAACACTTGATTACAATCAAACTCGATACTACAGGAGAACTTGTTTGTTTGGATCGAGTTGGAGTCCAGGGACTTGTTGGGTATTTGGGTGAAAGGCCCATAGGGCTTTTCCGGCCCAAAACAAGGGTCTGAACCTGTGCATCAAGGTGAGCTGTGTTCCCATATGTTAGGAGTGCAGCGACACATACAGCGAAGCTTGATGCCCTGAGTTTTAGGAGGTGTACTCACTTTTGCTTTTAGTGCACTGCTGGCATCATGTGGCGTGTGAATGGTTCGAGGTAGGGTTTTGATTGGATGTATGGTGCTAAGATGAGTGCGTGGTCTCTCAGGTACGGCGTGAACGCGTCTCCTGACCATCTTCCCATAGACTTGACAACGTCAAAAGGAACTCCCCTGAGCAAGTACTCTAAGGTGCCACCAATCCACAAGCCATGACCTTTGAGGTCTGGTAAGCCTGCTGCTTGTGCTGCAGCTAGTGATTCTTTTGGTGAACTCCTTCTTTGATAGGGGACGGGTGCCTTTCGGATGTTTCCACACAAAAAGGTGCACTTCGTTGACCACTGGGTTGACGCAGAAATGGTTCTGCAGGGCCATCTTTGGGTCTGACGGCCCATCTTGTGCTGCCCAGTAGGTGTCTTCTCCATCGATTGGAGAGACCTTGGTGCTTGGTAAGTGAAACTTCGTGACTGGAAGACCGTTGCGGTCTTCTGATTCTGATACTCCTCCCCTCATGATGTGCTTTCTTGGGCTGAAATCTTTGATAGTGCTGATGGTGAATTCTCCCAGTCTGGCAATGGAGTAGAATGTGGTGGTGAGGCATGTGAAAACTGTGGCGTCAAGTGGTGAGTTAAGGTCCAGATGTGAACATATTTCTGCGATGAAAACAGGTGTGAAAGGGACTCTCTTTGGTTTCTTTGAAGCTTGGGGAGCGAGGTTTGTTGCTCCGTCGAGCATGACTTTGAGTTCTGAATGGGGAATCTGCCAGTCCTTGCCGTGTAATAGGTGCCAAGCTTTCAGCCCTGCTGCATAGTTTGATAGCATTGATCCTGAGTATGATCCAGCACAACTTGAGAAGAACTCGAGAAGCAGCATCCAATCTATCAGACACTGCTTTTCTTCTATGATATTCTGTGAGTCACAGTAGACATGGAATACAAGGAGTCCTGCTCCATATAACTCTTTGGTTGATTGCGCCCACGATGCCCCCATCACTTCTAGTATCTGATTGAGCTGTGCGTCCGAGATTTAGTGAGTGGTTGGTTCTGTGGACGGCTCTGTCTGTCTAGAGCTATTCCCTGCTGGGACCCATAGTCTTAATCGATCTTGTGCTAGACAGTGCGGGCGAAGGGTGCATCGGCGAGGGGTGAGGTTCTGTTGGTAGGCGTGGGGTGTAGGCACTACTGTGCTTGTGGCCGGTAACACTGCTCCAAAATGGGAGTGAGGCTTGGCGTCATTCATCCCTGAGTGCGCTGTTGATGAAGTGGTCTTCTTCAATCCTTGAGGCAAGTGCTCTCTCTGCAGCTTGTTGTCTAATGAAAGCTTGGTTGATGAACTTAGTTGCTGGAGCGGAGTAATTCCCATTGTGCAGATGGCGGATTTCTGCAGGGGAGAGAGGTTTGGTGGCGTCAATAATGAATGGGTTAAGTTCCTCTGGAATGGGGATTCTGGGAAGAAGTAAGCTGATTGGTCCATAGATACCTCTGGATGGCTCATCAGCTGGGTTGGATGTGCTGACCACGTAGGCTGTAGTGATTTTGAGACGGTTGGGTAAGTCGTGTAAGAACTGACTGATTCTTCAAAACATGCCATTGATGGCTGTGTTGCAGTGACACTGTTTCCACAATCCTTCCACAATCCCCGTGTTGTCTCCGTATACGAGGACGCTGCCATCAGTGCCAGGGAAAACGGCAAGAGTGTATATGAGGAACTTGAATCCGATTGCTTCGGCCCATCCGATGTCTCGTTTCCCGTTCTGCGTCTTCCAACCTGGTATGAGTCTCCAAGCCCTCCAGAACTCTCCAATGACAATTCCAATCCCAATGCCTGAACTAGCATCTGAAAATGCATGACGGTCTCTGAGCAGGGGTGATGGGTATATGTTCCTTGTTGCTCCACCGGATTGTAATAGTGCTGACCACCACATCAAATCCTCGTCTATACCTTTGTCAGGTCTGTGTAGGAGAAACGGCTTGCTCCCGCACAATGCCAGCATGCTTTCAAGTCCCAGTAAATATGCCCATCCTCAAGGTACTGCGGTGCAGGTATGTAATAGCTTACCATATAGCTTTTGCACATTGAGTAGGACATGTGCTTTTCTCTTTCTCCATTCATGAATCGTTAGGAGGTACTTGTCAGTCTTTTCTGAACTTAGTGAGACCGTTCTAAGCTTAATGTCCCATAGAAAACCTGTATAGATCGTTGACGATTGAAACAGCTGATCTTTTATAAGCTTCCATAGGATGCCCATATCTTCTGATACCTTGTCAATGTCTTGGAGGCAGCAGTTGAACCGTCTATCATGTTCTGATCTGGGAGAGTGTTCTGATAAGTCTTTCAGCGGATTAGCACAGTCCTCACTGTGTTCCTCAAGCTGTCCAGTGCTTGGACATATCTTTCCAGTACCATAAGCGGCTTCCCGACTGGTGTATTCCTTCTCTGGTGAAAGTTTCTGACCAAGCGGCACGCGATCGGTTGTACTCTTCAAGGTACTCTCTATGGATTCTGAAGAAGATATGGTCGTCTACCCACTTGTCGAGGGGGCCGATCCCATGGTATCAGAAGATCTCTGCCCCAGCATCTGTAATGTGGCCATAAACACCCGCTGATGGGGTAGCCCCAAATGCTGTGCATGTGTCCACGCAGAATGAGTCTTCCGCGATTCGTACCACCCCACCTTGCCATTGTGACGGGTGCAGGGGTACTGTCCTGTAGGTGTCTGCGACATCTCTCGTGGCTGCCTCTGACCCTGGGGGGAGCACAGCGAATTATTTGATATATTACTGAGAATTTTCCCCAAGTTGTCGGGAAGTTGTTAGTGTCGATGTACGAGTAAATGGATGGGCTTGGAAAAGCTGTTGTGATTGAATGTGGGAAGGAGAAATTCTGGACAATTCTGAATTTTCTGGGTCTCCCCGGCTTTGGGATGATCAAAAGCGGGGAGGATTGGAACAGACCAATCAGTTGTTCTAGGGAGTCTGCCATGTGTGGTCCTACATATCTCCCTGTTTCAAGTTCTTTCTGGATGATGAGATCAAACTTGTTCTGATACTCATTAATTGAATCTTTATTTGGGGGGGTCTGTACAGCCAGGACAGGTGGGAAATCTATTCTGAAGCCCAAATGGAAACCTTCTGGTATTTTACTAAAACGATCAATAAGTCCTGCACGTCGGAGTTCGCGCTCCCAAGCCTCTGCTTTATATGGTGTCTGAGGGTGCAGCTTTCTGTGCTCGAGGACATTTTTGGGCTCTATGAGTGGTAGCCCTGCACCCTGAACACACGTGCTTGGCATTGTGCTTTGGCGTTGTGCATCCTTTGTCCCGCTGCCAGACAGTGCATATCTGTCTCCTATCTTTGGTCCACAAGGCCTTGGTAATGCGCTCTGAGAATGCTTCGTGGTTCCCATCCCACATGTGGGTGAGCGTGCACTTGATTGTCCTGTGTGGGTTCCTCCCGAGGCAAACTGCGCAGCAGGGAAGTGGTCCAGCATTGATAGGTGCCTGAGTGGTGTGTACCTTTTTGTTGCTTCCTGCTGCTGCTGGGAACGAGCACTTTTGGGCTGTCCCAGGCTGCTGTTGCGCGCAGGGAGCCTCCTGGTTGTTGGGAGCAGCAGCTGTGGTGGCCTGCTGTTGGTTGAGGTTTGTAGTGGCACCCCGTATGTATTGGTGACGTTCCACGAGGGTGAACCATTGTGAGTAACGGGTGATGGGATGATCCATTTGATAATGACATGGCCCGGGCATTGTTTGATACGACACAGTGCACGCGATTGGCATGTCTGGACAGGCACGTGTTTGGCCCAAATGGAAGGGTGGGTGTGTCGTGATTGACACAGAGGGTTGTGCGTGAATGCAACAAAAGGTTTTTTGCCAGTGTGTGATGGCCGACAAAAGAAATGTATCTGGTGAATGATTACACCAAGTGAAAAATGAATAAAATGAAAATGATAAACGAAAGGGAGTTGCGCAAAGCTCGAAGTGAAGTGGGAGGATGAATCACTGACCTTGATGGCTGTGAACGTCTGTTGGTCACACTGTTCATTGAATAAGTCTTCCCTAACTTCTAGAAGTAGATCTTGATTGATCTCTTCCAGGCTCCAGCTGTGCGCTGTCCCCACTGTGAGGTGCCATCTGCGCCTCTGCTGCGACTGGTATAGTAGGAGCGCTCTTTGTTTAAGCGGATCCGGGGTGTGACGCCAGTGATGCTCTTGGAGCACAGTCCAGAATTGGACATGCATCTGGACCCTGTCATTGGGCCAGTCATGGATTCTCATCAACATGATCATTCTCGGTGCCGCCTCATTGAAATCCTCCCATGTGAGTTGCTCGTTCTTGACTACTGGTGCTGCTCTGGGGTCTTTGACCACTGCTGCCGGTACCCAGGAGTGGACTCTGTCGTTGGATGGCAACATTACTAGCGTGTCCAGCTCCACAATCAGTGCTGAGGTTTTGGCGTCGTTCAGTCCCCTATTGGTGAAGTAGTGGAGCTCACAATACTCTCCAGCTTTCAATCTCCTTGTCGTGTACTGCGCAGGGATTATGGTGAGGTCGGAGGGAACTTTGGCTCTGATGAGGGGCACATATTTAGCCTTGTTCTTCTTGCGCTCTTCTTGGCGTGCTGCCTCCTCTTCATCTTTGAGGGTCTGCTGCTGTTGTTCCTCTTCTTCCTCTTCATGCCTTCAAGCGTTATCTATATGCTCTGTCTTTCGGCCCAACACATTTTGTCTGCGTTGTTCCTCACAGTCCATAGTGCCGTTAATGAACAGGCTGCTTGTTCATCTGTGAGTCCTTCATTTACTAGCTGCTGTCGTGCTTCGTGGTGCTCAATTAAAGTGAAATCCGGTCGTATAGTGATGTTTGGATCTTCATTAGACATTTGTAGACTTTTACTTTTGAAAATGCAAAAGAACTGAGACTAGCGGCTAGTACTTGGGACGAGAAGATTTTTTGGCTGATGTGGGTAGGAACAAGAGTTCCGTGCCACCTTGCCTAATTCGCGCATAGACTAAATTCTACGCTGGCCTTGTGCCTCAGCCTGCTTAGAAAGCCATCTATATGTTAGTAAGCAATGTGGTGCAGCGCTCTTTGCTCCCGTCCACATCTGTGGTACTGCTTCGACTTGACTTGCAGTCTGTACACACTGCAAAGCCTCGTTCTTGTTTGCACCCACCTGCCACTCCCTCTCTCAGGGTGCAGACAAATGCTTTGTAGTTCTGTTACTTAATCCAACTACTTACATTCATCCGATGCACTGCACTCGACACTTGCAATGTCGGTGACCTGATCGGAGCCCACCCTGCCACGTCACAGCTAGTGATGTGCATGGCCTGGCTTTGGGCTATGAGCCAGCCAAAGCCAGGCCCCCATTGAGCCAGGCCTAGCCAAGCCAAAGTCACGGCTTGCATAGGGCTTTGGCCTGGCCCATGATTTTGCGAAGCCTAAGCCAGCGGCCCAGGCTGGGGCTTTTAGGGTAGTACTAGGATATGCAAAACAAGAAGGACCACTGCACAACCTGGTGAAAGAAGCCCCATTAACACAACCATACACCAAAAACATGTACTGACACATCCTAAGAAGCCACAAACTTGATAACCAATAGATACAAGAGCATACTAAAGCATTCCTAGACCTGAAGGCCACATTAGTAGCACACCCTATCCTACAAGCACCAAAGTATGATGGGTCACCATTTGTCATCATGTCTGATGGTTGCCAAGGACTGGTGGCAGTATTGTCACAATGAACATGCATGCAGAGGCCATCTGGAAAGTGGATAGAATGCCTGCTACCCATAGCATTCACATCAAAACAGACGTCAACCACAGAACAGAAGTACAAACCTTTCATACTAGAGTTTGCATCAGCTAAAGTTTGAGTTGGACAAGTTCTTGGACATCATTTGGGGCTTCCCGGTAGAAATCAAGACCAACTGTCAGGTGCTAAGAGATGTATTACTAAGTGATCAGCTCAATGCTGCACACGCTCAATGGTGGGACAGAATTCTGGCACACCACATAATAGATGTACACCACATACTGGGCAAGTTAAACATGATAGTCGATGGTCTTAGTAGGCAATGGGAAGGCCAACTACAAAATGCAGGGCTACAAGATGGCAGTAACTGGACAGTCAGCAAGGATTGGGAAATGGAGAAAGGTTTGGTCAATGATATACTAATACTAACCTCCATGATAGACAAACAAATGGTAAGAAGCCTCCTAGAACATTTTGTTAATGAATCAGTTTTTCTAGAAGTTATAGAGTCAATAGCACAGATCAACTCAAACAAATCATTAAGAGACCGCAAATGAGCGCACCACCAAGTATCAGAGTATGTAATCAAAAATGGGAAACTATGGAGATTACATGGAGGAACAATGGTTTGAGCCCAAAGCAGAACAGAATGTGTTGCACAGGAAGAAGCAAAGCAGCTAGTGACAACACAACATGAGCAGAAGGGACACTGGGGAAGAGATGCTATCAAATATGCAGCCCCAAACTTGACACATCAATCATGGAAGCCTATATCAAACTGCACTAAGTGTAAAAACTTTGGGTCACAACATTTGCACTCACTATTGGAACCTATAACATACAGGCATCCTTTTGAGCTACTCATTAGCAACTATTTGAACACTTCCCAAAGCTCAGGGGTACCACACCTTAGGTGTCTACCTAGACATGTTCTTGCAGCACATATGGGTCTTCAAATATAAGTCTTCAGGCACAGCATGCACAATGATAAACAGTATATCACAGATCTTCCAGAACTTGACATCATCAGAAACATTTCAACAACACAGAAGTTCAGGAATATTGCGCTAAGTGGTCATGTAAAACACATGTTGTAGCAGCTTACTCACCTTGGATCAACACACTTGTAGAAGGCACAAACAAAATCCTATTGCATGTACTCAAACATCTATGTGCCCCAAACCTCGGTGAAGACGAATACAAAACAATATCATGGGATACCCTGCCAAAGAGCTAGCCAGAGCATCTAGAAGCAGTTGCAGCCTTGAACTATCAAATACTGCCAGCTTTGAAGTTCTCACCAAAGGAACTTTTACTAGGACAAGTAATCAATACCCCAAGGACAGACATAGCTAACAGTGCGTCAACAGTACAAATATCAGATGCCAATATTCATATGGCATATGTTGCACAACAGTGCCTAGACGGATACAAGGCCACAGTACAGCATGCCATCAAGAGGAAGGCAGCATTCAACAAGCTGTGAGAGACCGTGCTCAGATGGGGAAGCGGAGGGGTCAGGGCTTGGCTTCAGCTCTTGCACTGTGTCCTTAGCTGAGTACATGCCCCGAATTTGGAGCGGATCCAATGATGTCCAACAATAGGACAAGTGGACCGCTTTGGTCCACTTTGGTGGGTCAGGAAGTAAGTGCTGCTAGCAGTAATCTGACTAGGAGCAGAGTGTAGGAGGTGGAGGAAGTTTATTGGGACAGAGGGGAGCAAGGGGATTGATTGGTGGAGTCGGAGAGGTAAGAGTGAATACTTAGAGTGTGGCTCTAAGTCAGAGCGGAGGGTCGGAGGCGACAACAAGGTAAACTTGTGTCCAGAGAGGGAGCAAAGTCCTACGGAGAATTCCCACTAGTAGAGACAGCGGGAAGACAAGTAATATTAAGACTGGGGAGTAGCTAAGTACAGGATATGTTTTTATATACTTCTATGTAGGAGGCAGTGACTAGTTAGTCCTTGGTATGAGGCTATGTACCAAGTATACAATTTGTAAGTAGACACAGGTGAAAAACATAAGTCGGGGTGGATATCAATATGTACGTGTTGGATCAGTTAGTTGAGTGGTTATTGGAAGTACTGGTGATCCGGGGAGTAAGTACTATGTGTAAATGGGGAAAGTATATACCTAAATGGGGAAAGGAGTTTTACAGTAGAATGGATGATGTGGAAGGCAACCAACGAGACAGTTGAGCGGAACTGTAGGAGTGGATGCAGGAGCCAACTGGGACGAGCAGGAGGGTGGATGGAGTGGAGGTGGTAGGAGAGCGGGGGAAGTATGATGTTGGGCAGAGCAGATATCAATAAGCAGAGTGGTTGGATCAGGTATATGACAGATAGTAATTTAATTTAATTCTAGGCAGTTATTATGCCCCATAACTTCATGATTGTGGACTATTCTCTTGGTCAACCTGGGAGTGTCCACCATGCATATGCATTTTTATCCACTTGCCTCTATGAAGAGCATGTTAACCTTCTCCCAGATGGTCACTGGGTTTGGGCAGACAGTGCACATCCACTGGAGCCATGGTGTATCCCCCCTTTCAAGAAGCCTTGCAATGGTCAACTGACAAAGAACCAGAGAACATTTTAACTATCACCTTTCTAAGGCATTTTTCATTTTTTGCTGTTTTTATTATTATTAATGAATTTAAAGATCTGTGTACATGTTGAGCACACATTTGCAGTCTTGAAAGGGTGGTTCCAGTCTCTCCAAGAGCTCCACATCAATATTCAGACAGAGAAGGACTTGCAGGATGTTGTGCATTGAATTAAGTGTTGTCTTATCGTGCACAACATGATCATCCACTTCGAAACTCATCGTCACAAGCAGGACAAAGACTATGATGAGTCTCTGGAGTGGGCTCATACAGAGGGTGAAGGTTTTGTCCCTCAAGAGATCGAGGATCCAGAGGGTAATGAAATAGTAGGTGACAGATCATATGAGGGAACCCCTGGCCAGGCTACTTGTGCAAGGCTCATGGATGAGCTCTTTGACAGCCCTAGATCAAGAGCACAACATAGGGAAGGATAGGCACCATGTTCACATTCACTGTTAGGTACCGTGCCGACTCAGGAAGCAGAGGGGTCAGGGCTTGGCTTCAGCTCTTGCGCTGCGCCCATAGCCAAGTACGTGCCCCTGAATTTGGAGCGGGTCCGACGTTGTCCGACGATAGGACGAGTGGACTGCTTGGGTCCGCTTTGAGGGTTGGGGAGTAAGAGCTACTAGTGGCAGGCTGACTAGGAGCAGAGCAGAGAAGGCGGGGAGTGATGTGGAGGGTGGATAGGAACAGGGGGAATGTTTGGTAGGAGCGGAGATGGCGGGGGATAATGCAGAGGATGGGAAAAGGGGCAAAGGAGGATATTGATAGGGGCGGAGTAATAAGGGAAAGACTTAGAGCACGGCTCTAAGTCAGAGTGGAGGGTTGGAGGGTCGGAGGTGACAACAAGTTGAGACTTGTGTCCAGAGGAGGCAAGGTCCTACTGAGAATTCTCACAAGAGGTAATTGTGAGAAGACAAGTAATATTAAGACTGAGGAAAATATCTAAGTACATGATATGCTATATACTTCTATGTAGGAGGCAGTGATCAGGATAACTATGTAGTAAAGCTATGTACCAAGGACATAGCTTGTAAGTACTTTACATAGGAAAGACATAAGTCGGAGTGGATATCAATATGTATGTGTCAGATCAGTGATCAAGCAGTAATAGGAATTACCGGTGATCCAGAAGTAAGGGTCTATGTACCAAAGGGGAAGGTATATGTCTAAAAGGGGAAAGAGGTCCAGTTGAATGGAGATATTATGGAAGGGGACCGGTTGAGCGGTTGAGCGGAAACATAGGAGCAGATGCGGACGATGATCGGACGGAGCAGAGGATGGATGGAGTGGAGGTGATCGGAAAGCGGAGCGGATATTGATATTAGAGTGGCCAGATCAGGTATATGACATTCACCAATAATACATGTATTACTAGTTGTACAACTTGTACAACACATGTAACATCAATCTAACAAGTACTTGCAGAAAAAAAAGAAATTGATGAAGTCAGATAGTGTTATGACCCACGTTCACCAATAATGATGAAGGAGAGTTCACGACCACTAGGACTCGGTCT